CAGGCCAGTGGTAAATGTGGGTTTAGAGCAGGGACGATGGTACAAATCAGAGCAGCAAAAAACTGCCAAAGAGCATGATGTGGGTAAGACTGGTGGTTTGCGGGTCAGGAGCAAGTCTACGTAAAAACAAACCCATTCATGTCACAGCTAAATACCTCTCAGCTTTAAAAGACAAAACCATTAAAAAAAAAAAATTACTGTGATCTAGAAACCCTATAAAATGTTTTCTCAAAACTAGAATTACTCTTAAAACGAACAAAGTAGAAGTAAATATTATTGAGAGGTCATAAATTCTACATGTAAAAATATCCCCAGGGGAAAAACTGTAACCAGTAGTGAAAGACAAAGTATATGTATTTCTTACAATATCCCCCAAATCGGGAGAGTTTGAGAGGCATCACCAGTAGATCCTCTAAAAATATGCAGTCAGGGTGTGCAACAAGCATATGGGAATTTCCCTTCACATTTTCGCAGTATAACCTGAGCTAGATAATGCTAAACCCCACTATAAACCAGAAACGTATGCCTGGAAATAAAAACTTCATATTTAAAGCTCATTTCCAGCCAAAGCTTTTATAATATTCTTTTTTTCCCCAAATTTTGGATAGAGTAGTGCAAATAGTAGGGACCTCTGATTCCTGGGACAGGGAACGACCAGAATCTTTCAAATGCAAATACAACAAAGCACTTTTTTCAATTAAGAAAAGGTTAGTGCGGCTGTGTATATTCTGTGTGGAAGTAAAGGCAATCTTCCCAATGGGGACAGAGACTGCAAGAAAAGCTGAAAAAAGTCTAGTAAACAAGCCCTATTACGTATGTACTGTACATTCACAGACACAACGATGCGGATTTACTAGATCATTTTAAGCCACATTATACCTTCAGGATTTTATTTTACATTTTTTATTAATGGGGGACAGACTTATTTTTTATTTTTGTCGTTCTCAAGCGCTATCCAAAACGCAAGCCATGTCCACCCTGTACAGGTGCCTCCATCAGCTAGCCAACTGCTGTGGATGCACCCGTACGTGCATGGTCACGGCCATGCCCGCACCTACTTATGTGTGTACACACACACACACACACACACACACACACACACACACACACACACCGGGCTCCTCTGCCGGGCCCCTTGAGGAAACACGAGCATCTTCTCTGTCGAGGAGACAAGCGGCTGCAGGTAAGTGTGGGGGGGACGAAGGTGTTAGGAAAGTGCTGGGTGTTTTTTTGCCTTAATGCACAGAATGCATATGATCAGAGTATTCAGACCCCCCTACTAAGCGCTCACTTTTTACAGCTCGTTGGGATGGTCTATCAAGGTACCCATAGGACAGATGCAGGTAAGAGTATCAAATAATTTGCTAAAGTCCTTGCAATGTCTATAGCGGATCTAAAGAGGAATGTTTTTCCTTAAAACGAGAACTATGGGGTCAGGGCTTTTCCCCATAATTCTCCTAAGGGTCACGGGAGGACACAAACTAGCGTCCTCCCGTCACCCAAAGCTCAGTATACCGCGAGCTGAGACGCCACAGCCGGGACGGATCCCAACATTACTGTCTGGATCCACCCAGCTGCGTGAGTGACAGCTGGCTCTGCCTGCCTAGAGGCAGAGCCAGCTGTACCCATCCCCTACCCCAGTCAGCACTGAAGGATCGGACAGGGGAGCGGGGGATCCTTGCAGGGAGCCGTGAGTGACAGTAACGGCTCTCTGCAGGGACAAAATCGAGAAGTGAGAGAGGGACGGTATGCGTTTGATCACTTCCAGGTCTATTAAACCGACCTGTGACAGTTTCATTGTCACAGGTCGGCTAGAACTAGGAGGCTGAGTGATTTCCACTCGACTCATAGTTCTCCTTTAAACAACAACTGAAATATTATGTACGGTAGGTCAGAAAAGCGCTCCCTCTTTACCTAAAATGCTACTAAGATGCTGTTATGTTGCACAATTACAAGAAATGACCATAATAGTGATAAGGGGTTGTGTGTCTGACTTGCACATTTGGAAAGACGATACGCTGTAAAATATGAATTCCGGTTTGCTATGCGGCAATATTCAGCAGTTCTAATTTGGCAGCTAGCAGCATAAGTGCAGACAGTAAACACCAGCTACGCTTAGTAGCTGGCAGTGCTACTGGGAACGGCTGCTACAGTAACATTAGCATCCACACACGTGTTTGTGCATGCGTGGAGGATTACACGCCAATTATGTCGCGCTCCTAAATCTCTCGCCATTGGAGTCTCATTTCAGAGCTGCTAACAGGAGGGCATGGTGGGGAATTTGCGGTATGAAATCAAAGGAAACTAAAAAGAGGCAGGAAAAAAGTAAATAAATGGAACTTCAATGTGTGGCGTTTGCATATTTCAACAATAAAAGTAAATACGTTGGTGTTCAATGGTAAACCTAGTACGTTATGAATAAATCAAAATGCCTATCTTTGTGATCTCATCATCTGGAAAAGCAAATCAAAAGGGTTAGGCAGTGGATGGATACTGTGAATACAGACTCCACCATTACTTCCTTTCCCAGATCATGGTAGAGATTAAACACTAACAGAATGTTTCACCAACAACTGAACATGATGGGAGTCTAGTTCTCACATAAAAACCAGGGAGCCCTATATGTTGTTTCGGCTCTTCCTTTCAGAAGTCAGCTGATAAACAGTATTAACACCCATACCTAATATACAGAGCAGTAAACTTAGGAGATGTTGAAGATGAATAACTATGGTTGTGTTTATATGAACAAAAGTAATGCTTGGGTCTGTGTCTTTAAGGAAAATATGGCTGCCTCCAGGTGAGCCTCCTCCCTGTTTGTGCATTGCTACACATGTCAAATAGTTGGGCAAACAAGTTTGTGTAGTTCGGGACCACACTTAGAGGTCCCTTGACACGGCAGTGTGGCTTCCCCGTATATTTGCAAATGTATGCAACTAAAACCTCTGTTTTTATCCGAATTGTTAAACAGCTTAGTGTGTTGGGCATCACTTTTGTATTGAACTCAAGATGCACAGCATGCAATGTTCAACTCTATCCAGGATTCTGCAGGTCCTTCCAGTACAATGTGAAAACTACACCAAAGTACAAAAGAACTGGACTTCTGGCCTTCCATTAATTTTGTTTTATCTTGGGGGGGGGGAAGCCATGCTTACAAGTCCTCGAAGGGAAAGCATCAAATTTTTGTACATATTTTCCATTATATAGGACTAAAAAAAGGCCTACGAAGATTTCATTATCTACCACTTCCAGCCAGAAAATGTATAACCCAAGCTGGCCACACTCTATCTTAGATTTTTGAAAGATCTTTCGTTCGATTTTCTATTAGTTGATGGGGTCAAATCAATGATCAATATCGACCACCTTGATGGAAAAACTTAAAGGCGCAGAATGGAAAAAAAAATTCTTGAACTAAATTACAACAGTGAATGTGGTTTCTCCTTCTGGAAACGCCATTCATTCCAAAATCGACTGTTCAAATTAAACTAAATTTCGATCGACATTCGTCAAGTGTTTGATAGCAATATTGGCTGATAAAAGATATTTCTTACGAAAGTTTGTTTGGAAACCTACTAGTGTATGGTTCCATATGGACGTTTCAGTCAGAAAGAAAAAATTATATAAAAATGATCATACATTCTAAAAACGTAACATATTAAGTAAAACACAAAAAAAAACACGATAATAGTTCCCCTTAAAGTGACATTAAACCCTCAGATTTTTTTAACATAAACCAATACTGTAATGTGTGCCTTACTGTAATCCATGGTTGTTTCCCTTCTCTTTGCTGCTCTTCCTTTTAAATCCTTCTCTTTTCTCATGCTTGGGGAGAACTTCCCTTTGCAGCTGAGTGCCTCTTCCTGTAGTGCTGGCTCAGGTTGCAAACCTACACACAGACACCATGTAGCCATTTCAGAGACAAGGCAGTCTGCTGCAAAACAGAAGTTCTGCGCAGCATGAGAAGAGATAAGGATTTAAAAGGAAGGGCAGCAAAGAGAAGGGAAACAACCATGGATTACAGTAAGGCACACATTACCAGTATTGTTTTAAGTTAAAAAAAATCTGAGGGTTTAATGTCACTTTAAGTTGTAAAACCACACAACATGCACTAGATTGATCTGCAAAGCTTTGCCTGTACACAAGGTGGTCAAGAGACCCTTCTGACAGGTTAGAAGATCTGGGAATAAGACTACTACTATTAAACAATAGTTTACAATAAGTGGTATGTACCACTGCTGCCTATAGAAACATCTAATGTACTGTACCATTTTCTCCAGACATTAACCCAAAGCCATTACTACAGAACAAGGAAGCCCACTCATGTATAAGCTAAAAGGTCCATTTATTCCTCCCTACAGCAGCTTATCCAAAAGAAAATAGTCCATATTTTGTACACCTTCTGATGCCCCAAACACAGCTATTGGCCATGCATGGATGAGTCCAGCCTGGCAGACATCCCTGTGAGCAAAAATTCATATTAAATGAACCATAACATAATTGTAGCTACAATTACCTGCAGTGCCAGCCCACACACATCACAGGTACAGTATTCCACAGATCAGCTTGTTTCAAGTCTAACCTGCTGTGGACAGTCAGGAGATGCACGCTATTGATGACAAACTCATCAATACTGAGCAGCCAGGAGACTCAATGCCGTTGTACAAGCACAGCACTGACAAACCTGCAGTTTTTAGGAGATCCCCACTATTTTTCTGCACATCTTAAGTTAGCCAAAAAGGTTACTGAAAACTGACCTGCCTGTGTTTCAGGTCAGGATAGACAGTCCAATCTGTAAGTCACCACCCTGAGATATGCCATGAGCACAAAAATATTCAATCGCACTGTATTTTTACTGTGCTGTATTGTATGCTGCAGAACTATGAACCTTTGTTAGTTCTAGCTATATCATAATAGCGGTAAACCTCGAAGAAATATAATCCAATAGCATGTACTCCATACAGTAAATGACAGTTCTCTCACTATGTAGCGTGAGGATTTTGTACCTTTGCTTTGAGAGTTGTTCACGGAAAACATGTTGATGGCCATGAGCTGCAACATCCTTGTGCTGCCTACAGGGGAAGGACTATGCTGGAGCAATGCCTGGAAATCCTTTAAAACCTTCTCAACAACCACATGGAACGTTTCCATTCTGTAACAAAAAATTCAAACATCACTCAAAATATCAGATTGTAAATGTTCTTACCTTTACAACCATTCAAAATTTTAAAAAAAATAAAGCTAAAAATCGACTCTGAACTACAAGTAGATACAAAATCAATAGATGTACTCTGTAAAAATACTTAATTTGCTTGTCATCAGCCCCCTGTAATCCTCAGTACAGCAAAGCTAGATGAGAAAAGGTCTGGACCTTCAACCAATCGGGGCTTGACTGTGTACAGTAGGGGACAGGCATGGCGATGACCTGATCAGAGTGTTTCTGCTCCTTCATTGCCCAGTCAAAGCCTAAGGATGAGTCCGGGACCAGACTGTACTGTAGTGCTAAGCTGCAGTGCAGAGATGTCCAGGACCTTATTATGCAGTCTGTCAGAGACGTTTGAATTACAAAACTATCTGGATAAAAATCACAAATCCTTTGGCATGTTTACCAGTTTTCATATATGTATTTCAACTGTTATTTATTTGTCTCAGTTTCCGTTTTCATATAAACAGGATCATATTCACCATATGTGTACAACTGTATATAGATGATTGAATAGGCTAGATCTGTATGCTATTCTGATCACATACAGTAAGTTATTCCTCTGGTGATTTGCAAGTATTAACATAGACTCATACAGTCAGTTGTATCATTTTTTGGAAAAGTAAAGTTTATTAGCTTTAATGATAAACTTTACAAAACCATCCATGGGCAATGAGACAATAATCAAAAAAGCATCCGTACAAACTGTGTGTGTGATTACGCCTACTGTACATTTACATTATTTCATATTGTTTTTTGTGAAACTCGAAAAACCACTTAAATTATTTTTTTTAAAAGCATCCATACAGAAAAGAGCAAGTATAGTATATACATGGATCTTAAACAAAAGCCACAAGAGAATACAAACAAGCTAAAAGAAGTGGATGGCACACGTCATATTTATCATCTCACAAAATGACCTAGCTAATCTTAATAGTATAATGCTCCAGAGAGATAGGACCAAAAAACCCACTAGAATATGTTACACAGTATGACCCACACAACCTTCCGGAATCATGTTCCCGACCTTCAGCCACGGAGACCACACTTTGCTAAATTTCTTTGGACAACCCCAAGTCTCATATCAATTTACAGGTGGGGGGGAGGGGGGGTCTTACTAACCAGCCTCATCCATAGATTTCAGGTCGGAGGAACCGACTACTTCCACTCCAAAGCAAGGGCTTTTTTGGCATAAAAATACAGCACACGAATAAGGAGTTTAGTACTAGCGGAGAGATCCAAGTTGTCAAAGTATCCCAAAAGACATCTGGCATGATTACATATATTCGGTACAGTCAATAAAGAAGCACTAAAATCTGTAACCTCAGACCAAAAGGCCCGTATTATTGGGCACTCCCAAACCACAGGCATAAAGGTCCCTGTGGCTGTAAGACATTACAAGAGGGGGGAGGATCATTTACCCATTTTAAACAATGTGTGTGAAGTGCAATACATTTGGTGCTGGTATTTTATTTCAATCAACCTATCCCTGGAGGAAATGGAGGTAAGATGGGGTCCCAACACATCCTGCCAAGCTTCATCTGCCAAATCTGGGATCTCCTGTTGCCATAAAGCCTTTGGTTGTATCATTAGCTGTAGCAACTGACATATATGCTGAAATCCAGCAGTACATAAAAATAAGCTCATAAAATCAGCATATCTGGCTGCTTATCCTGATCATCAAGATGGAAGGATCTCGATCAAATTTGATCATTTTATGGCCAGATCTAGAACGAGCAGCTTAAATAGTTAAGCAATAAGACATTTCAGGTATAAAGTGGTAGAATAATCATGTCTACACAAGCAGCTGTGATGACCAGATTAGATAGTAAATTAAGGGAAGATTTGCTGTGTAATGAAAACAATGATCATGAGTGCAGTGTTCTGCAGCCACCGACTGGAAACCCCTGAAGTGAATTATGATTTATCACTGTATTGACAATGTGTATCTGGTCACACTGTTCCCAGTTAACTTGGAGTGAAAGCAGCCAAATAATATTTACAAGCAAGACACAGAATATGTCAGAGCAAATCACCAGAGGCAAATTTCTATAGTGACGTCCATTAGCTATGTGATGAAATGCAGCCTCACTCTAGTGCATTCAGAGCGCTGGAACCATCTACCTGCAAGCACCCAGGAACTTTTAAAGTGGAACTGCTCTTTTGTATGGTAAACCTTACTATCCGAGTCACTGATCATGGAAGAAAAGAAGTCCCTACCTTCATACTTTCTCTAGGTCAGTGAGTGAAAGTATATTAAGCAAGAGGGTCCACCACGACAGGCAATCAAGAAGCACTGGCAGAAGTAGAAGTGGCACCCTCTGTGTTTCATTCATTTTAATACTGGGGTTTTCACTGTCGTCTCCATTTATGTTGATGTGATCTCTACTAATTTCTCGTTTGCAAAGTGGGGAAACAAATATTGGGAGGTGATAACATGTGCAGACACAATCTGACCTCCCAAAGGTTGAAAAATGTTCATCATCCCCTGCGTAGCTTATCGGTCTAATCTGAATGAAGAGGGGAGGGTTAGACAATATGCTCCCCGACCCTGTTGGCACCGATCTATCATAGAGAAACCACTTTGTCATGAGACTGTTAGCCACTTCGACTGAAACTGGTCAATTCATGTCCATGTGCAACTCCAGAACGACTTCTTTATCATCATTTTTGTTGCCGTTGGGGAGATTTTTCTCACTTGTCCAGCGACAGTGGACATCAGGATAGAAAATGAAGCAAATATCAACCCAACAGAAACATTGGGAGAGTAAAATGTACTCTTTCCAATACTTGGAGCCAGTGTGACACTGCAGGTATTCCACACTGTATATAAAGAGAGAGCCGAGTGATCACAAACCGCTGATCGCTTAAGCTCACGGTCTTCTCCCTGCAGAGAGCGGTGACTGTCAGTCACCCCCCCCCCCCCCCC